CCGAACGTGTGCAGCTCCTCCACACCCAGGTAAGGGTGTGGTGCTAAAAGCAGTTGTGTTGACACTTAACAAACACAGAGGGCTGTTATATACTGGAGGATAGGGCAGGACAGCGGTCTAGAATGGCCTCTCTACTGCTGTCCACAAGGAAAGGCCTACTCAGCGCCCATCACCTGATCCCACCACTCACATTTTGCAAACAAGCATTTTAAAAAGAATTCCAGATTTTGAATTGCAAGCTTGAAGAGGAAAGACTCGTCTCAGGCTGTAGGCATTGCAGGCCTGAGAATACAAGTCTTGCCATCTCTCTTTGCACAGAACACCAGCTTGATCAACACCAAGAAGAAGCTGGAAACAGACATTGCCCAAATTCAGGGTGAAATGGAGTATACGATCCAGGAAGCCCTCAATGCTGAAGAGAAGGCCAAGAAGGCCATCACTGATGTGAGTTGCGGGCTCCTTTCACTGCTTAAGATAACTGCTTTCTCCCCAAAATGTCTCCAGCCTCAAAATGGCTTTGACCCTTTCTCTTGTCAGGCGGCCATGATGGCGGAAGAGCTGAAGAAGGAGCAGGACACCAGCGCCCACCTGGAGAGGATGAAGAAGAACCTGGACCAGACGGTGAAGGACCTGCAGCACCGTCTGGATGAGGCTGAGCAGTTGGCGCTGAAAGGTGGCAGGAAGCAAATCCAGAAGCTGGAGGCCAGAGTGCGTAGGGCTGGTATTGGAGCACCTGCAAGCATGTCACGGAAGCAGCCACCATGGAAGCTCCAAAGATGGTCTTCTCATTGCAGGTGCGGGAGCTGGAAGGGGAGGTGGATGCTGAGCAGAAGCGCAGCGCTGAAGCCGTGAAAGGTGTGCGCAAGTACGAGAGGAGGGTGAAGGAGCTGACCTACCAGGTAAGGCAGGAGGCCTCCTTGGGCTGAGGGAGTTTTCTCACAGCGAGTCAAATTTTGCACACACCATCCCCAAGGGGAATTGTTAACCTGAGGTGGTGGGAAGCCAGTAGTTCACTCTCTTTCCTGTTTGCCAACTGCTTTAGTCTGAGGAAGACCGGAAGAATATTCTCAGGCTGCAGGATCTGGTGGACAAGCTGCAAATGAAGGTGAAATCCTACAAGAGGCAATCTGAAGAGGCTGTAAGTATCACTCTGAGTGCTTGGCAAGAAACACTTTCCAAGTGGGTAGCATGGTCATTGGGGAGATGACTATAAGAAACTTGGGAAGTGCCACTGGTCGGTAATTGAGGGCTTCAAGTTCTTTGAAGTGCTTATAAATTAGCCTAGCCTTTGAGAACGAAATCAATGAGCAAATAAGAAGGCTGATGAGGAGGGTTAAGTGCACATAACTGTTTTTTTGGCATTAGAGCAGCAAAGTAGTCCGTACAAAGGAATTCTTATTAATAATACTGGATAGTACAATACATTAGGAAGTTTTGAAAAGAAAATATTTTCAGAATTTGGACATTCGTGTAACTGTCCTTTCAAAAGATGCCTGTGACCCTTGCAATTCAGAGAAGCTCGGTAGTTACCTAGAAGCAAACGGCTTGCCAAAACTCCAGAATTCTGTGCCTAGGAACACAGAAAATGTCACACAAGGAATCCTTCTGATTCAGCATATTCTCATCTACTACAGGGAATTCCACACTTTGGATATGGCCAGGGAAAATTTAGCAGATAGAGAAGGTGTTGGAAGTACGCTCCCAAGCCACATTGTGCGCTGCATTTAGAATTGTGCAAGGAGCCTTTGCCTTTTTCTGGGCATGCTGCAATCAGGAATGAACTGAGGGAAGTCCTGCAGCCCCTGAATTTATGAATGTCTGAGTATGGCTTCCGTGCTGCTGCAAACAGTCCAGTACGGACAAGGGCTTCTGGACTCAGATAAGGGGATTTGTGAGAGGGACACTGAGGAGATCTCATGGACTCAGTGTCTCTTACAAACTCTTGGCCCCGTCTCAGGGTCTGCAGAGGAAGTTGAACATTTAATTCCAGAGATAACAAAATCTGATTCCCAGCTGCCCAGTTTCCTTCCTTCCGTCCCACATTCCAGAGCAGAATTATGTTCAAACCCTGTTGTGATCTGTCTGTAATGGATCATCTAAAAAGGGGAGGATGAGGAGGTCTGTGTGAGGCTTATGTGCAAGCAGCGGTGGGTGGGGGATGGAGGGGAAGAGCCGCAGCCCCAACAAGGCCGAGGCGCAGGAGGAGTGGAACCCCTGCCCTGGGCTCCTCACCACCAACTCCCTCTGCCCGCACAGGAGGAGCTGTCCAATGTCAACCTCTCCAAGTTCCGCAAGATCCAGCACGAGCTGGAGGAAGCCGAGGAGCGGGCTGACATTGCAGAGTCGCAGGTCAACAAGCTCCGAGCAAAAAGCCGGGAGTTTCATAGGAAGATAGAAGAGGAAGAGTGAGGATGTCATGAGGCAGCAAAGTGACCTGAGGGATGCACAAAATGTGAACCTCTTGGTCGCTTTCTTCTGTAATGAGTCTTTGTACCCATTTCAATGTCTAGAGAATAAAGACTGTAGATTCCTGTGCACACACACTATGAGCAGTGCCGCCTTTTTTTTTTTTCTCCTCATCAAGCCTGGGATATTGCATTGCTGCTCAGGTTTTCTTGCTTTTCCTGGCTGGGGGAAGGGAGAACTAATGCATACTCTGGATTGAGGACTTGCAAACTTGGAGGCTGACCATTCCAGTGGAGACTACGGATAGTCCAGCCTGTACTGCCCTCTGTCTCCAGCAGCCCCTTGCCCTGCTCCTACCCTCACATACTCTTAATGCTTCTCCCATGGTCCTTCCAGCACAGCTTACTTCCCACATGAGAGGCAAGAGAGGGTGATCCCTTTCCTTTTTTGCTTTCCCCGTTTCGGTGCACACTGCGTGGCACCAGCACATCTCAACACATCACCTCAAAGGTCAGCCTTGTCACCTCTCGCACAACAGG